AATTCCAGGAGGTACAACCAAAGCAGCACACTCCATAGCAGCACCTATTCATTCTCCTATCAACCAAGCAGTAGTCATGACAAAGGAGTGCTGAGATATGCCGAAAAGACTGTGGGGAATACTAAAAAGACTGGCAGCTCAACACCGCTGGGTCCGCGGGGTGATCAACCTGCTCCTGCACAGCACAGGTCGCCTGGGTCATCAACCGCTGCATGGAGAAGTGGGGTTCCTGGAACAGGCGCGGAACAATGGCCGTGGCCGTGGCGCCATCCGAACACCTCATGACCTCGAGCGATGTGGAACCGCTGCCGACCCCGGTCAGGTCCAAGGCGGTGGCTCCAGCGGTCTCAGGCGCCGGAGCGCCGCAGGATCTCACGGCGGACCGCCGCGAGACCAAAGAGAAACACCGGAGGATCGATTGTTTTGCCCCAGCTTTCTGTTGGATACATGGATTTCGATGGGCAAAAGAATCAAGCTGTTTTGAACCGTCTACGAGGGTACTAGCCTGAAGAGTTGTTCTTGTTTGGTTTCGTGTGGTGTTTTGGGGTCACAACCACTGAATCAATGGATGACAGACCCTTTAAATGTATTTTCATATCATCGTTCTGTCTCTGCTTGTTTACCCCAGACCCAAAACCGACCCTTGATTTGTGGGATCCTCTGACGAAACCTTGCCTTTCCCAAGCTCACTATTTTTTCTTTGTGCTTCTCAGATGATCCGGTTCACGACCCTGCTTTGCTGGTTTTGCTTGTTCTCAGCAGTCGTTAACGTACGAAAGCTCTCAACTGAGTGGAAGACGACACACTCTTCAGATTCGGAGCTTCCACCATGCACTCGACAAGTAGATCCGGTGGACATCAGTTCCATATAATGTATATATATATATATACACATACAGATACACATTATGATACTTATAAGACTTTAGATCGATCAAACACACACACACACAGTATACATAGCATGGCTTCACCTCAGATTTTCCAAGTCTACCAAGAAGTGTCCTCCCATTTCAATCCATCTTCCCCCCAAGTGTCCCGCCACCCCCAGGCGCCGTCGCCCAGACGTTACGAGACTTGATGGAGCGCGGGGGCCTTGGCTTGGGGCCCACCGTGCGCTGGGTGTGACCGGGTGTGGAGCCTAGCCGTAGCCGTTGGTTCCATGACCAGTCTACCCACCAGTCTACCCAGACAGAGGCGAGAAAGGGGAAACTCCCGATGGAAAATACACCCATATGTCCAAGAAGGCCAGGGCGCCAGTGCTTGGAGTGAATCTGTTCAGGGCAAAAACCATGGAAAAGCCCGGTATGGCCATTGGTGAAGCGTCCCAGTACTTGCAACCCCACTTTGGAAGGACCGTGCCTCAGAGGCGGGCTGGGTGTAGCTGGGTTTTCTGGCCTCGGTGGACGCAACGTCGGAACCCGACCGTTGCGGGGTACCGTCAGGGAACCGTGCAGGTGGACCAGGATCAGCTGGGTCATGCAAGCTCAATTTGAGGCGATCCTTGTTCACGCACTGAGTTTTACTCAATCCTGACCTGCTTAGACGTCATCCAGCCAACTCGGAAAAGCTCGAAGTGTCCTTCTCAATCCGCGCCTGGCCATCTACCTGAACCCCCCCCCTTTAAGTCTGTTGGTCTCGACACCATGCGAGGGACTGGACCTCAAGGAGATGGCTCGCACCGGTCCCCGCGAGGTCTGTCGCTCTCGGCCGCCCTCGCGGAGGCAACGTCGGGTGAAGACAAGATGATGGAGAGTCGTGATGGGTTTGCGGTTTTGTTTTTGATCCGGCATCGATGTTCGGAACGATTCCAACAGGGATGTTAGAGGGCGGCAGGACATGGGGTCACCTTGAAGGATAAGAATGAAACACATGTAAAAGCCTGAGAACCAAGAACCTGCATTCGTTGATCCTTTTGTGTACAGTGGGGTTGATCTCGACCACATTTCTTGCAAGGGGCAGAAGTTCTTCTGGGGGGAATATTCAGCCCTCAAGACCTTAAGAAGGATGACTTCAAAGCAGTTGCGAGATTTAGGTGTATCTCAGAGACATCCTTATCCCCATCATCTCAGCCCTGGCAGGTTTGGACGGGCGGTTAGGTTCCTCCATGTTGAAGGACACCCACTGGCTGGTCCATTCCGATCTTTTGGCTGGTCAGAAGGTACGGCCAAGACCCACATGTTTCAGATTTTTTGTCCAAAGATGTCGCTGGGAAGACGCCCGAGTCACGCCATCCATGACTGGTCATGCCAGCCAGTCGGTTGGGCCACGCAGAAATGAGATGCTTCACTTCATGTTCGCCGGAGCAGGATTGGGAGGCCACCTACCAGCATGCTGAAGCTCGACGGAGCAGGAGAAGCGTGTGTGTGTGTGTGTTTTTTCTTTTCGCCCAACAATACGCTGTTTGGATTGATCAGAATTTCGAATCGCCTGATGACGTAGTTTTGCACAGGAAACCCCGGGATTCGCCTCTTTCACGCCTCGTAACCTTCTTTGTTTTTCATTGTGATGGATGAATCATGAGTAGGTGATGTGGCTCAGAACCTGCTTTTGAGGGAATGGTTCTTTGTCATAGGGGAACATGGGGCTGTGACTTGTTCGCAGGCTGCGGAAGGAGATCTGCAGCCTGGGGGTTGACCCGGAACGAGTTCTGCGAGACCTAGGCTGTGATGGAGGCAACGAGAGATGCTGCAATACTCTGGCGTTCAAGAAATCCTGCCTGGTGTCACCTGGATTGCAAGGAAAACTGGGTGGTGGTTAGGAAACGCATATATATATATAGTTATATATAAGTACACATTTATATACATGTTTGGCTGTGAGAAAATGCACACATATTCTTTAAATCCCAATCTGGGACTGGTTATCCCAATTGACTACTGTAATAATTGAAAAGCTTGCTTTAATTTGTTCTTTTCACCAATAGGACTTCCTGAGCACACTGGTTTGGTGCCGGCTGCCAGGCCCTCACAAACGACCAGCCAAGCGTGCGAAGACTGTGACCTCCTCGGCGGCAGGACTGACACGGAAGTCTTTCTGAAATCTTTCTGCTATACAAAGTGGTCATGCTCAGATGACTCTCACGATTCCTGATCAGGGAGGACCCACTTCTGTTCAGGTGTGTATTCTTCTTGTCCTACTCAGGAATGGATGTAAACGGGTCTATTTCCCATATCCAGGAGTCCCAAAAACAATAAAGTTGAGTCTATTTTCTTTTACCAGACATGTTTTGGGGATTAGCTAGCGGGCCAAGACCCTGAGCCAATGGACAGGACGCGGCGGCGCCTGATCGTCTCCGCAACAATTCGTTTGATATCAAGTGCTGCAAGATGGGCAGGTATTCCAGAAGTGATGATGTGACGCCAAAACATGGAACCCAAGTGTTTGAAGCCCAGAAGCACAACTCCCTGCGGCCCTAGAAGCTTGTGGTAAGCTTCTCAGTGCATGCAAGAATTCGATCATCAACCGTGGTGGACGGTCGGTTCAATCTGCCATGCGTGCAGGAAGGTATATAGTCCCGGGTTATATAATATGTATATTCATATATATATATATATATGTATAATATGTATATATATAGCCATATAGCTTTAAACTTCAGAATGACAATGACAACTATCCAGTGTGACAGCCATGATCAGTCGTTGTCAAGCTGTGGGTCCCCCGAAAAGATCCGAGTCAAACCACAGGAATTCCAGGGGAAGTCCATAGGCCAACGGGGCACACGAGCTGTTTGTGGATGGGGTGATTCTCCACCCAATGGGGCAGCACGCGTGGAGAGCGAGCTGAAGAGCTTCGCAGCTTCGCATGACGGACCGTCAGATGGGTGCGGGAACCCATGTCATGGCCCATAGTAGAAGAAAAAACCATCGACTTTCTCGGTGGTGGATTCTCAGCTGCGTCAGATCTGGCGCATCGCCCAAACTGCATTCCTCTGATCCCAAGCAGAAGAGAGAGACACCCAATCAGATCGGCATCCGGAACGATCGGAGCCCCCAAAAAAACCGAGACTCGCCGACTGTGACAGGCATCCCTGATGGGCTGAGATCCTTCTGATGGCGGTGACTCATCAGTTTGATGGAATAACCCTTGTCAAAAACACATGCAGTTGTGACCGACCCTGACCCTCATCTGAGATGTCAATGATTTGAGATATCTTGACAGTCAAGTTGGATTGACTTCGACTTCGTTGGAAACGGGTGTCAACCTAGGGCCTAAGGAGAGACCACACACACGGCAGGCATTCTGCATGGGGTCACCCTGGTTGACCACCGATTTCTTCTTTGGTCTCCAACGCATCCGGTTCCTGAGTGCCACGATTGCCATCCGAGTTCCTCGGTCGCCTGGCTCAGAAGTTGTTGCTTTTGGTTGGACATGTCAAGCAGCTTGCGGTGCAGCAAAAGCCAACAAAAACTGGGCGCAGAAAGCCCCGTGTAGAATGACTGGGCTGGGCCCCTCTGCCTAGTCAAGTCTCAGTGCGTGAGCAAACGACCAGCTTAAGCGCCATGACCACGAACGATGCCAACCCCAGTGGCCCGTGGAAGACACACTCTGAGTCTTCAAGGGGGAGGAACATTTGGAGAAACACGCGTTCTTCGTCACCAGTAGTGAATTAGCACAACCATAACATTAAGCATTTAGAAAGCAATCCTCAATTCTTGGAAGCGTGCACGTTGTGCTCGAGGCTCGCCCGGTTAAACTGGGGCTCTGCGGCGTGTGGTGGTGCCAAATGGTCAGCAACTGTAGGGTGAATGACATGATGCTTGAGATTTTGTTTTACGGGCAAGGGTGGCATTGATGGGTGCCTCTCCACTTGGAATAGAATAGGCCCGCTTTGTAAAGGAACATGGTTTTCGTAACAGTTTTCCATGTCATGTCAAGTCCGCAAGAGTCCCAATTTGGCTAGTTTGGCTGACTTGATCGAGTTCCTTTCTACAGCACGCGGACACATTTGAGAGTTGGCTCAGAACGCACTTGTCGTGGAGCCGGAGTTGGTTGCAATGGAGGCGAATGGGAAGGTCTCGTGGATGCAGCACCGACTGAAAACCGCATGCTTGTTCTTACGACCAGTGCAAGAGAGCCTTGTCCTTCTTAAGCAGGGCTTCATTGGTGCAAATTCAGTTGTCACCTCCACAAAGGAACATGCGTTTCTTTTTTCAACTGGGATGCCAGGTGTTGATTGACTAAAGCTAGATGCTAGATCAAAAGAACAGGGTTCTTCACTGTTCCATGCATTTCAAATGGGCCAACGGTCACTTGAAGGGTCTCATCCTCGGGAGCCCTGCCTTCTTTCAGGAGCGACATCCCAGCCATCCAGAAAGCAGCCAGTGCCTTTGCAGTGGCCGATGCCATGATCTCCATCCCACATCCCTATCCGGAAGACGAAGCTCAAAGGTTTGTTGAGACTTGGTGGGAACAATCAAAATGAGCCACTGCTCCTTGGGCAGAGTGCTATTTCGTTTGAACTCCACAGTTTTTTTCTTTTTTCAGGTCGGGTGGGGAGGAAACTCTTTTCGGCACACTTCTTGACCGGACTGATTTGCCAAGTGAGATGATCATGAAGCATCAAACGGCTGTGTCATCCACTGATGTCATCAAATCAGTGTCACGAATGGTTCCACACCGTTTCTAAAGGAAAGTCGTCTTCCTTTCGACCCCATCCTCTTCCATGATTGTTGGGAGGGTATTGGGGGTTGAGCCCAATAACTCCAGCTTCTTTGGCTCTGCACGATCGCTGACGTCTTAGAGAAGGAGTCACCCAACAAGTCGTTGAACGTTGAAACCGACGAAACCCGCGTTCACCGGCCTTCGGGGTTGGTCTTGTCGCGGTCTTGCGATGAAGCCGAAAAGGAAACGCAGAGGGAGTTGATGAGCAAGAAGCAATCCTTGACCTTCTCGATGATCGAAACCGAGAAGAAGGCCGCTTGCCATGGATTGCCTCTCTATTGGGGGCGAAACTTCCCTCTTTCCCTGCTACTTTTTTTTGGGGGGGATTTTGCGGAAGCTGGGCTCACCTGGGGTCCAAAATTGATGTATTTTCACCTTGTTCTTTCAATCTTGTGAGAAGGGACTTCCTGTGTGCATTGTCCATCAAGAACAATCGAAAACACATGCTCACCACTTGAGAAGTACTTCGCCATTGTGCTTCGAAGGAGGACATTTCTAGAACTGGGTTAATCCTCCCAACAAGGAAACAGGATGAAGAAAACAGGAACCGTTTTTCTCCGCTGGAGAATTTTGCCCATCGCTGCCTGGCGCGGCTTGTGGAGGCCTTCACTGGCTTGATCTCCCTCAGGGACTTTGAGCCGGAGCACCAGACGGCAGAACTCAGCTTTTGGGTTGCGCCCAATGCCCAAGGCCGCGGCTACATGACGGAGGCCTTGCCGAGTGTGCCTTGGACTAGGAAAAATATCATATTGGACTGGACTAGCATTGCAATTGATTCAGGATGTTCATTTTTTTCTGTTTCCTGGAAAAGAAGTGGTTGAGGGGTTGAATATGAACCCAGAGGAGCTAGGAACTGAGCCAACAATCAAGGCCCTAACCCGAATCGGCTGAGAAAGTCGTCGTTTTTCCATCCTTTCACCTCACATGGCCTCATGTCCTGCCACACCTGTCTGAGGTTCTGGACCTGGCCTTTAAGCATTTGGAGCTCAATCGAATCTATGCCTATCACATGCTGCGGAATGTGCCCAGTGGCCGAGTCCTGGAGAAGTGTGGCTTGCGGCCTGAAGGACCGAAGCACGGGGTGCCTTCAGCACCGAGCCGGGATGGGGATGGGGATGGGGGATCAGCGGTCCGTGCTCGGAGGGTCGGTGGTTCTTCAGGTCTGAGGTGTTGTCCGACCTCAGCGGTTGGCCAACCGCCCAGAAGACGGTGCCCGGATTGACCCAAGAGCTCAAGCGTTCAGGGGGAGCGTGAGGCGAACGCGCGGGTGGTCCAGCGCCGAACAACACAGCGAGAAACCCCTCGGGTCGTTCGGCGCTACGCGCAGATTCGGAGGACTTCTGCGCCAACGGGTGCTGAAGCTGGGTGGTTTCAGATTTTTTAATTTTCCACCAGCCACCAGGAGAATACCAACTCACATCTTAAAAAACATCATATATATATATTATATATCTATATGTATGTATATTCGTACAAGTATGTGTATATATATATAAATTCATACATATTCTTTCATGTTTTTCCATTTGTGTCCGATTTTTTCCAGAGTTTCCACCGACCGAGGAAGTGCGGGAAGTTCGAGGATGTGCTGCTGCGCGCGGTGCTCCGGGAGGAGTGGTCCAAGATCTCGGAGCAGTTGATCTCACGAGTCCGAGAACGCTACGCGGTGGAGCTCGGAGGGTCGTGAGGCTCGTGATAGGCCGAAGAGGTGGCGAAGCTAAAGGTGATCAAAGATCTCCAGTTTTTTCAGGGGAATCTCACTATGTAAGCAAACCCACGGCAGAAGATGTGGAGATGAAGGCTGCAAGCCTAGTCCCATGTGGTTCATTTTCTTGGTTCTACTTCTGGGAAAGAATAACAAAGGTCCCCGGTGCCGAAACACCCAGAGCTGCGGCCCTAGGCTCCGAGACCTCTCAGTGCTATTTGTTGTAAAAAAAATCTCAAAGCTCCGAGTCTGAGGGGTGAATTGATCAATTGCAAGTCTTGGGTTTTGGATACCAATGTTGTAAGATTTACAAAGTTCTTGTGGGAGGGAGTCGCGCACTTTGGCCTATCAAGTTTGAAGCGATGGGGCCAGCTAACGTAGACCCTCAAAGAAATCGCAGGTTGCAGGTTTGATCAAATTCCTGAACCAAGTTGAAGGGGGGGGTCTATGTTTGTCTAGGATGTACAAAGTCTACAAGCCGAACTCCGTTGAAATCTCGGAGGCCAAAACGTCCATCGAAAATGATGGCAATTTCGGCTGATGTGCTTCGCCCGTGGCCAACCTGGGCGGTTCTGGGTGTCCGTTTTGGAGATACAGTATGGTGTAGTAGTTATTCAAGAGTTCCAACCGAACTCGGTGTCGTTGACTGCAATCTCCATCAATCTCCTGGTTTTGGTGTCAAATTGGTATAGCAAAGGCTTGCAACGGACACGAGCGGCTTGTGAACTGAGAGTGGTTGGGTGGCCCTCTTCACAAGCTAGCCTGCAAGAGCAACCTTACAGTTCAACAAAAGAACTGGGGGTTAGAATGAGCAAGCTGAAGCCCTGCGTGCGAACTGAGGGGCCCTGCCTGACGCGATGGAAGGGGAACAAAGGGCGAAGGGGCAAGGTCTTTTCATGACTGAAGTCGAATGTTTGGGGGATCAACGTGGGGGAACTCGCTAAAGATGATGAAGCCCTCTTTTTCATCCACGAGTTCTTCAGCCTGGAGGTGCCAGAAGCTTCACATTGACCTAACTTTCGCTGGCCAAACATGTCGTTGGGATGGACGTTGTGTTCATAGACATACCACAACGCGCACGTAGTAGGTGGTGCGATCCATTGACATTCGAGGCCCATTTCTTCTCCCAGCACGGGCCGGGTCGGTTGGATGTTGTCGTTCACAGCGGAGACAGCATGGGTTGAAAAGGCTCCGGATCGGTCTGAAGGGTCAAGACCTGTGGCCGCCACGAGGCCTTAGGAACCAAACAGAGAACAATCCATGGAAACACATTCTGAAACAAAGGGCGAAGTGTTCCGAAAGACTGACCCCTTGCCGATCGGTGATATCCATGCGTCTTCACGTCTTCATGTTTTTTTAATCCTAATACTAAGGCGGGCGAGCGACGAACTCGCTTTGAAGGGTACGCTAGCCCAAAACCCCAACTCAGCTGTCCAGTCCTTTGGACAGATCGAACTTGCTCCGCATTTGGTTCGATCCAAACTCGCGGTTGTTCACCAAATTGCCCTGGTTGTGTCAGGTGGTGCTCATGCTGTAGCTAGGGTCAACTCGCGAGAAACCTGCTCTCGCTCCTCCGAAAACAAGACTTGGATTCGTCTCTCCGGAGGAATCGCATGCAACCGATTTTGAGCCATACAATCCGATCAGCAGATGGATGCGGATGAGGTATGACGGGTTTTACAATGGCTTAATTCTAGTCAAACTCACTGGTATTGGAGTGCCAATGACCAACATGAACTCCCACCACTTCGACGCGCTTTCAGAGGTCGCATGCCATGCATGGCCCGCCACTACCTCAGGCGACCCGGAGGAATCGGGTCCTGGATCTCCTGATACTTTGAGACCCCTGCGCCCCCCCCGAAGAATGGCCTCGGAGACTCAGTCGGATTCGATCCGTTTCCCCCGTCCCACCGACAGGCGCCGAGTCGGAACACGGCCGCCGTCCCAGAGCCGAGTTGGAATGCACGAAGAGAACACAAAGCATTCCTGGCCTCCAACGAGCTGGGACGTCCAGTCAACGAACTTCTTGCGCTGACGGACCTGTCCTAGGGGCCACACCATCCTGCTTTCTCCCGCCACGAAAAAGATCCAAGTCCGCGGCGTTCCACCCAAAAGTAGACGCGTTCCCGTGCGCTTTCGGTGTATTTTTTGCCCATGCGAGCGTCGACAGAAACAGACCTGAGGAGTCCCGAGGCCGATGGAGTCCGTCCAATTGACGTTTTTTGATCTTCCGATCTTCAAAAAGGTGTGGGAAAGGTTTTGCATTTACGATACATAGAAAAGGATGAAAAAGGATGTCTTCAAGAGAGTATTGACTGGGAATTGCAATTAATCACCCGGAATCACCCACGATGCTGTTGATGCTTTCCTGTATCTTTAGGTGATCACAAAATGTCAGGGCGACCGGCCAACGTAGCACCTTTCTGAGCAGCGGTAGAATGCAAAAACTGTTGATCTCGGTTATAAAGTTATAACGTGCAAGATCAGCCTTTCTTTCCGGATTTGGTGTGCACGACTCGCATTTTTTAGTCCGGAAGAAGCTGGAGTAATTTCCCCGCTGGTCGTGTTGTTTCTTCCCACTTCAGATTTTGCATTCAAAACTCCATTTGTTGCTGTGTTTTCCAGAGCGTGCCTGGTGCAGAAGTCCTAGGGAGTGATTCAACGTTTCCAATTGAGAGCATGAGAGTCTTTTTGGGCTCATATAAAGGGTCAAATGGCATACCCTCTTCTGTTCCCACTATTGGAAGAGCCCCTGCACCTGAGAGAATTGCTGGCGGTTCCAGGTCTTCAGTGACATTCCTCCATCCACGGTCGCAACTGTCTGCCGACGCTAGGCAGGTGGCATCCGGGACCCCTTTGCCTGGAAGGAGGCCTTGGGAAGCGATCAGGTCCTCCATGTCAGGGGGTTCCTTGAGTCATTTCGAGTTGCGAAACGACCGCAAGAAGGCATTTGGCCGCAAGCCTTCCGGTGGAAGTGCTCGGTCCTTCTCGTATAGGACGTCTGGGTCTGACATGGTCTGCCTCGGTCCTTCCATGTTCGTCAGGTCCGATCCGGGATCGTTGGTCAAATCGATGTCCTCTTCCACCTTAGCTTCACCTAGAAAGAGGCTTCAGCGGTGTACGGAGTGAACCAGAACACCCGTGCACCACCTGAAAAAGAGAACAACACATTTCAACACTATGATACCCTGACCAAAACGAACACTGAAAGAACATCTCTTTCTGAGCACCGAGACAATCGCGGCGGCACCGTGCGTGCAGGCCTTGACGCCAACTCCAGGGTCTCTGGCCAACTCTAGGGCCGGATCGGTGGCAGGCGGGACGGGACCTTAAATATTCTGGAGGGAACCTCACCAACAGGAGGAACTCAATAAGAAACACCGTGAAGCACCTATCAGGTTCCTGAGGTTGGAGTATTTCTTGAATCTTGTTTGGAGAACAGTATGAGACTCCAAGACTCCAAACAAGACTCTAAGACTCCGAACAAGACTCCAAGACTCCAAACAAGACTCCAAGACTCTCAGAACGCCTCGAACGCTGCTTGCTCGCCGCGAGGCTCGAACGCCAGCACTCCGCGGAATCCCCCGACGCCGCCCTTGTCACCAGCACCAGGCCACAGGGGCGCGGCCACAGGGGTTGCTTGTGAGTGCTGTTGTTGGCGAGTCTTCTCCAAAGTCTCAACACGGTTATTGCTAGTTTTCAATAGTTGTCCTATGTTGTCCTGGTAAACTACTGCATCACTGAACAGGATGCTGCATGATTTTTCTGGTCTCGTTAAAAGAATCTCAGGAGCAAACGGTTTGTCATATAACTATTAACGTTATCAATTCTGTAAACACCGTGTTGTACTTGTTTGACCAAACTATTTGCTACTTCCTCGCACCAATTCACATCCCTTAAACTAAAGGCAACAAAAACTCCATGCCTATGCGTTCTCGTGCAAAGAAACATGTTCCAACGCTACTAGTGCCTAATGCTCCAGTCACGATTCTCCGGCTGTCCCCTCCCACTCGCCACGGGCGTGAAACCTTGAGAGCACACCCACAGACAGACGACAGACCGAAAGATACCGAAGGGGAAGTTGAATGGAGTCGAAGTCTGCCTCTTGGGACCACGTGTTGTGGCTGGGCTGTTTCTGTCATACTGAGTCATACTAGTTACAACTAGTCAGTGATGGCCTCCAACCTACAAGCGAAGGCCTCCAACCTGCAAGCGATGGCCTCCAACCTGCAAGCGATGGCCT